AGGTAATTTTATTTTTATTAATGTATTTAAAAATTAATTTTATTTATTTTTAATTAGAATTTTTATTTTTCAGAGTGCCATTTATACAATAACATAGCTCTTTTCCATTGCGAATTGGATCTTTTGTAATAGCTAAATTTAATAACATGCCTTGTGTTGCTCAAATTATTGCTATGTATGAACGAAATAATTCATTTCATTCATATATTGATACTCTTGTTTCAGATTTTGAATCTCTTTCTTATGTATCTTTGAAAATTTTCTTTCATATTAATGGTACAATTTTTTCAACAATCCGTAATCATCAATTTTATATTTTTTCTCATGTTGAACCTTCACATATTGTTTATCATTTGGCTTCAAGTGATATTAGTATTAATGAGGAGGTATTAGTTTTTAAAGGACAGACAAAAGGGTTCTATAATGCATTTAAGAAATAATATAGTAATAATCTTTAATAATTAGTATTTTTTTTTTTTTGAATTTAGAAATCTATTATGCTTAGGTTACTAAATATAATGATTTTTTTCAATTGTGTAATAATAATGATAGCAATCTAGGTTTAAAAATTTATGAAATGCTTGTATAACATGACGATCATAAAAATTTACTTATTAATATAGATGCTAGAATAGTGAATTATCTTAAGTATATTTATTTATTTAATTATTCGACAATCGCATATAATTATAAAAAAAATTCTTTTTGTTATTTTTTTCATTCGGATTAAAACTTAGCTACCAATCATGATCATAAATTGCCAGATAACACCATTATTGGGCAAATATTTAAAATTTTTGCTCAATAATGTACACTTATATATTCATTTATTTATTTATATTATTTATTTATTTATTTATTTTTAGGTTTGGATTGAAAATGTATGCTTTGTAAGAGTATCGTAGTGGTCTACTTATTAATATGACAGGTAAGTATGTATATTAGTAAGTTTTGACTAATAAAACAATTAAGATTATGTAAATTGTTTTAATTAAATCTTGTAATTTTACTATTTTTAGGTAATACAAGAATTCGTGCATATATACTCAGGTAATATTATCTGTAAGTTTATTTGTTGAGCAAAAGAAGTTATAAATATTCATCCATTAGCAATTTTATTAGTCTATATGAGTGCCGCCAAGGAGAAATCTGTCATCGGGCTTCTAATAATATTTTGTACCGGATATATTCTCTAATAAATTAAATAGATTATGTCAGGTCCAAAATATTATTAAAAGCCCAATGACAGATTTTCCCCCCTTGGCGATACTCATATATTGCATATAATCCTTTAGATTTTTGATGATATCTATTGACCTAGTTCTACTAAATTTTATATAAAATAGTTAGGATGGGTTGAGAGTTTTTTTTTTTTTTTAAAAAAAAAAAAGGTTATTTATTAATATTTTTACTATTCTATCATTTTACAGTAAATCATAATTATTATGCTGACTAATCAATTTTATATAAATTTAGTAGTTGGATGAATCCAATATGTTATTAAACTTACTCGGTCATTCGATTATTGTTAATCTAAGTTCTTTAGCAAATTATTCAAGAGTATAATGGTATGAAGGTTATATTGTAAAGTTTATATACATTTATCATAAACTGCAGAAATAAGCTAACTATATGATATCTGCAGGAAACTAAGTTCTTTGATATAGTCTTCTTAACAAATTCAACCGCTAAAACAAAGGCAGCTACCACAAGTTCTAATAGCATTCATGATTCTACAGCAACAGAGATCTTATCGGTCAAAGTTAGGTCTAAACAAGTTAGTTAAAAATTATTTTATTGTTAAAATTCTTAGTTAATCAACTATTTAGTTTGTAATATTTATGTGATAGTAGAAAGAAATGTTAAACCGTACAATGCAAGAAAAACTTTTTGGTATTTATATTCTGCTAAGACAAATCATGGAATGAAGAATTGTATTCAAGATAAATAACTTTTGAAGAATTTACCACAAGTCTTATCTATAAATGATGATATATTAATTTATTCAGGTGCAACATTTACTAGCTCATTTTTCAGTTTTACCATTATCTAATTTTGGGTTAGAAATCTTGATAGGTAAAGATGAAATGATCGATTTTGAAGATTTCTTATATGTTTATTATTAAGTTATACACTATTAATTAGTTTGTTTTCATAACTAGGCCAGGCCAAAATTTGAAATCTTTAATAAAATTTTTTTTTATGTTTTAATAACCGAATGGTCCTTTAAAAAATTAAAAAAAAAAAAAACTGATTGAGTCAATCACAAGAAATTAACTTCGTATATAATGCATAGCTTATATATTTTTGAAATTTTTATTTATAATTAAATGATTGCTATTATAGTTAATTAAATTAGCCCATGAATATAAGATCGCTTAATTTAAGATCTATTTAGAAGATTTAATAAATCATAAGCAATAGCTATATATACAATATTGGCTTTTTTTTTTTGAATTTCTCTATTTAGTTACTAGTTATTGGGCATTGATATTTATATTTTTGTGACTTTATAAGAGTTATATCCTGGGCAATTGGGTATATGCAGAAATGAAATTTTCATTTATACACATAATGCCCAGGGTATAACCAGAGTATAAATATATAGTAGATATATTTTTGCAAATAAATTTATGTAATTGAAAATTAGAATTAAATTTTTAAGCAATTATATACAATATTGCACTGTATATAGTACCTGGGGCCTTATTCAAGAACTTATCTTTAAAATTGAATAGTACCAGGTGCTATTCATGAATCTAGCAATTTTTATTGGTGAAGAAATACTTTGTAGTAGAATATTATTATTAGAGAATACTGTAAGTAATGTGATAAGTAAATTATTTTAGTAGTAGTATTTACTGTTAGTATTTTTAATAAATCTAGATGTTATAATTTAGTTTTTAGCAAATTGCTATAATATTTATATATAATAATTGAATTTTTAGCAAATTAAACTAAATTTTAAGGTAGCAAAAACTTCTTAATTTATGCAGATCAGTTATGACCTATATGAGAAATGTCCAGGGTCCTGCTTCTACTGTATATCTCAAATTTTTTTTTTCTTATATAGTGCTAATTAGAGGATTATAAAATATATACTAGACCAAAGAAAAAATAACTTTTATCTAGTCTATTTTATCTTTTGCCAAGAATTCTTTACTATTACTATATGCTATAACTATTTCAATTCTTCTACTTCTATACAGATCAAGAATAAAGTTCTGATATATATAGGTAATTTGATCCTTTTTAATGCTAGTTTGAGTATATCTAGGCTTACCAAGTCAAATGCTTTTTTTATATTTAGCATTAAGATCCATAATTCTTTTTTTTGTTTTCTAGAATCTTCTAGAATATTATTTAATATCTGAATTAGTATATTTGTATAATTTCCAGGCAGCTTAGTGAAATTAAAACTCTTAAGAATATTTTTCTCTTTAATGATCTTCTCTAATTTTGTATTTACTATGTATACTGTTATTTTTTTTATTGTTTCAAGCAGCATAATTTGTATAGATTGTAATTCCAAAACTTGCTTTTTGATATGGGAATAGAATACCTTTTTTAAAAAACATGCTACTTCTTATATAGTCATCCCTCTTTATAGTCACCCTCTTTTATAATCATATCATATAAAAACTCCTCTTTATCATATTCTATACTCAAAAACAAATTACTATTAAACATATAAAAAACTATCTCTATATAAGCACAACCTCTTTATAAGCATATTTTTTAAAAAAGTTATTAAGTAAACAAAACATGTAATTATAAAGAGAATTAACTGTAACTTAATTTCTATTTTCTTTAATAGAGAGTATGTAATATCACTTGCTTCTAGTGCTAAGCTAGTTTTGTTTTTTCTAGTGCTTTATACTATTTTAAATTATCTATATCTTTATCAAGTTCTTTATACTAGCTTTCTTCTATATCAGCTATTGGCCTGTAGCTATTTTTTTACCTTGTATTTATGTTTTCTGCTTTGATTTTACACTTTTTGTATTGTTCTTGAAAGTGTGTTGCTATTTTTTCTTTTACTTCTTTCTTGTTGTTAATTAGTTTTCTACTTCATTTTCAACTACTACTACTCTATCAAGGTGAATTCTGTTATTTTGTTTGTCTAGTTAGCTTGAATTATTCATTTTTGGTCTGCAACTATTATCTCTTCTCTTTCTTCTATATGCTTTTTAATTTTATTTTCTTTATACACGTAGCTTCTTCTCTTTTGTATCTAAACTTTGTTTTCTACTTTCCAGAGCTCATTTAATCTTATATACAATTCTTTAAACTATACTATTTTTGTTTTCAAAGATATTATTTCTAATATTTTGAGTAGCTTGCTAATTTTATCTTTTTTTATAATTTGATTTGCTTATTTGTACTTTGTATTTTCTACAAAGTTTACTAATTACTCTAACTTTTTTTTTAGCATTTTGTAGCTCAGAGCTAGGAGCATACTTTAGTAAAGTTTTTTACTTCACTTTTTTGAAAATATTTTTTTGTTGTCAATATAATATACTCATTAATTATACTCTATCTCTAATTTAGTTCTTCTCACAATATTATTTGTTTATTTGTTTTCTTGCTTTTTAATGCTGCCTATTTTTTTTCTAGCTCTCTATTCAGAAGTTGTTCATATTTTAGCTAGTCTTTATTTTTAGTATTTTCTAGATCAAAAGTTAGTGTTCTAGATTTTAATCTTTTACTCTTTGCCTTATTGCTTATCTGAAGCCCTATATTTATAATAATACTTGCTTGAAATATTATATAATTATTTGCTATTGTATTGTCTATATTTATAATATCTATTTTTAAAATATTGTCTTTATTTTTTTGTAATATCCAGATATAGTCTATTCATGTTTCAGATTTCTAACCTCTCTAGATGAATCCTAAATCTTAAGGGTTTACCTATCAGTATGCGTCTATAAGGCCTTTTATTTTTAGAAAAAAGAAAAGCTCATCTGCACTATTATCTTTTTTTGCTTCATCTTTGTGTATTATTGCTTCTTATTGTGTAGTATTAAAGTCTCTTATAACTATAAATTTATGTTTTTTTTTGTACTCTTTATTAAGGCTATATCTGATAAATGTTTGGAGTTTGCTTCATATCTGTTGATTATTTGGTGAGAAATAAAGCACAATAATACTATAGTCTACTCTTTTAAATATTAATATCAATTCTAGCTTATAAGCATCTATTTTTTCTACTTTAGCAATATGTTGTATATAGTTTTTATTGATTAATAGTTCTATACCAAAACCTTTCTTTTTCTTATTTATATTTTCTGTTCAAAAGCTAATTATTCTACTCTCATGTTTTGTAAACCAGGTTCTCTATTTTTTCACAATATTTGTTTTGCAAATTCCTAAAATATATATTTTTTTATCTATTATATAGTCTATAAGAGCTTTTAACTTTGTTTTGTTGCTTTTAATACTTTTAATATTATAAAACCTAATACTGTTGAACCTCCCTAAATCGATCCTCTCAAAACTGATAATCTGTCAAATCTGATAAAAAATTAGTTTACAAAGTCCATTTCTATTATATTAATCTAATAGTTTATAATATTTTTCAAATCTGATAACCTCTTAAGACTGATACAAAATCGGTCCACCATGCATATTGGTTTGGGGAGGTTTAACAGTATTTAAAATATTTAGATTTTCTAGGGGTGTAGTGGCTTAGTGAAGTGGTCTAGTCGTCACTCCACTAAATAGCAGGTCCAAAGTTTGAATCCCACAGACAACGATTTCGAAAAATAAGTATGCGTTATGGTAATAATTATTTGTTGATCAGTTGGGTTCTAGAACCTGTAATCTCAGTGACACCATGTTTACATAAGAGTATTGGCATATAAAAGGCTGAGAAACTGGGATGATCAAAACCTATTTGGAAAGACTCGAGTAAAGAGTAGCTACAATCTTTGATGGTACTACAGGAAAGACCTGAATTTGAAAATTAGGACTAAAATTAGAGAACTGAATAACAACAAGATTTTTTAGTAAGAAGATTTACTGACCTAACTGCTATTTTAGGAAGTTAGAAATCTGTAAGCCGTTACAGAGTACACCAACCTTGGCCAACCGGTATGGGAAACTGGTGGTGGGGCCCTATCTACAAAACTAGGGGTTATGAAAGTTAAGTAACTGACAAGAAAATGCTGGCCATATCCAAAGGACTAGCCTACCAAATTAGAGAAAAAGGACATGTGCTAGAAAATTATGTACCAAAACAAGATGAGGGTACTAGCACCTAATGCCAAGCCAAAATCGAATCTTCTGGGTCACTGGTTGGAATTAAGGGATGGACTAATAAAGAAATAACAGAAAAAGGAAAAGTCTAAATGTGGGTACTGGGATTAGGAATGAACCTTATAAGGGCAAAAGTGATTAAATCCCAACTACAAGTGGAAGCCTTAGCAACTGTGCAAAACCAGATTGGCCCAAATAGGATAGAGAAAGCTCTGGTAGGTTTACCTTGAGAATAGCCTATGTATTTACTTAACAAAGGGATGCAAGCCAGTAATTAGATAGTGCAAACCCAAGATAAGCCACAAGAAGTCCTAAGGCAGGGTGCACAATCTAGTGAAACAGGCCATTGGTAGTTTTCTGGTTAGTTTGATATGTTTAAAAATAGTTAGGATCAGAAGGTTTAATTGGGTAACTCTCTAGTTGGGTTATAGGCATAATATCTAGTGTAGAACCTGCAAGCGGACTACTTAAATAGGTACTCAAAAGGTGCATGTATAACTAGTTGTATCTTCATTATAACTATAATAACAAATAATTGCTAATAAAGAGTTTTCAGACCAAAGAGATCACCTTAACACTGAAAAAAAAAAAAAAAGTATTTAGATTTTCTAAATTTGCTTTTTTTGTATCTGGGATCTCTTTTTCTATTATTTTGTACAAGCATAAC